TTTCAGTCTTGTGCGAAATGCGGCCTTCGCCTACGGCTCGTGCTACGCACGTCACCCGCCACTGAAATGGCTCACTTCCCGCCTTTGCCACACAATATACTATTTTGTGACGCCTGCACCGAAAGTTTGGTTTTCGAACGCGGTTGAAGCGTTCTTCTAAGCCTTTTTCCGTCTATGGTGGGCCGTAAAGTGGGAATGGAAATCCCCATGGACCAAGGGAAAAAAGTGAAAATCCTCAAAAGTGTTGGGTGTGAATATAACGCGTATTCCATGCACAATCAGACACTGAAATCTATACCACGGTCCTTAAATAGCATAAACTTTTGGTTACATCTTATATACATATTATTATAATCTCCTTGCATGACGCGTAAACATTTTTATTTCATGAAATTGTTTTCGTAGAATAATCTGGTTGTTGCATATATCCCTATATAGTACCTTTGCAGTGATTACATTTTTTTGTGTGTCGCGTTTGGTATAGACTATATTTAATAGAAAACGGGTATAACGAGATAGGATTTGAAACAGCGTAATAAGATCTGCATATATCATGCATTTATAATTATTATAGTTTATAAATCATAACAATTTGGTGACTTTAACATCAATTTTAATGATAAGAAATCGGAAACTTTTAAAACTTTCCTTATGGACACATTCAGTTTACATAATATGATAAACAATCCAGCATAATCTACAAGACTACAACGAGAGATGACACCACTATCGATGCAGTATTTTCAAGATATTTGGAAAAAATTACATCACAAACATACGTTACATCACAGGCCTGTAATTTCGATTATTGAATATGATTAATATAATAGTAATTAAATAGTAATAATAATCATTTTCATTTTCATTTATTTTTCACTTTTATTTTGAATGGTTCCACTAAAATGTACAAATACTATAATATTCGTTGGAAAAGAAACTTCGTTTCTATCCGGTGTCCCATGACAGCACTTGTATATTTTTTTCTATAAATGTCAATAAAAAATTATTTATCCGGTCAAAAAGCTTAAAAATGTAATACGTGATTTTCTCAATACTTGACCTAGCATATTAATATTATGATGTCTGTTGAATATAATATTATTATGTTTAATGTATATATTATTGTAAGTACTGTGCTGATTAGTGATTGATTTATAAACGGTTGATGCATTGATATTTTATGTCAATAGTTTTGTATAATATCGTACTTTGTGTATGTGATAAATAATTTATTTTTATTCATTTGATAATATTAATAAATTATATTCCATAATAGGTATGGGCAGTGAATGTTAAAAATATTTAAATAATTCAATTAAAATATTTGCTATTCTTCAAAATCGCTAAATTATTAAAATTCCAATCCACTACTTATTTTTCATTTATAATACGTAGTACCTATTATGGTGATGGGTCTTCCGTGTATTTCAACTTTCATTATGATAATGTTTTTAGTAGACTGCGTACAGTCATTTTTCTAATTTATTGTACAATAATTTTTATTTTTCTAATATTTATTCATAAGGCATAAAAAAAAAAACCGATGTACGATTGTCCTATAATAATACCTGTTACCTGTTAACATGCGTATACCTATATAATATATTCGTATAATTTAATATATATATTATACTTATATTTAAGCAATGCGTGTAGTTATCCTCTCGGGCACCATACTTCGATGATAAAACAAAAATTAACGATACGCGTTAAAAGCGTATATTCTGTCCAAACCACGGTAGATTGTAATCTACCGCGGTAACGTCGGTATATAATTCATAATAATTTATTTATAGTTTAATGTTGCTTGTCGGACTTTATTGTTTACGTTCACTGGTGTGTATGGCGTGGTAGGTATTAAAATATTTACATATTATTATTATAGGTAATACATACACATAAACGATTTTAACAGACACGTGTCACGAGTATAATATTCAAAAATATGGCAAAATCAATTTCACTTTTAGCATTTATTTACGTTATCGTATTATACGAATATTTTTACGCTGTTTCACAAATGTTTGAAAATGATTCAAGTTCTTTTTAACTCGAAAAGTATTTAAATAAAGGAAATTACTAGCGCTCGAAGTAAAACGATGTTATTAGATGGTGCAAGAACAAAAATGGGTACTGGTCTAGATGACCCCCGTCGAGAAAATATTCCCCCCGCCACTAGGGTTTAGTTGATGCCCTCAACTTAAATCTCTCGTGTTTTCGATTTTCTATAGTCAATAATCAATAATTTAAAATATAATTACATATAATATTATAATATAATATTTCATAAAAAAAAGTAAGAAAATGATTTAAACCATTTATCATACACTCTTTCGGAATTTATAGATACCTACATAATATATATGAATAAATAAATCGTAAAAAAAATGATACACCACATCAGCTAATACATTTAAGCTAGAAATTCAAGTAATTAAAATTAAAATAGATACCTAACGTGTGTGATTTCGTACCTTTTTATCTGCAGTTTATAATATATTCTATATTTCTATATCGAATGATTAGAACTTCGAAAACACGAGAGATTTAAGTGGCGGGCGTCAACTAAACCTAAGTGGCGGGTGGAATATTTTCTTGGCGGGGGTCAACTAGACCAGTACCCAAAAATGTATACCTAGGTAATACTAATGGAAATATTTCAAAAGTTGCATACTTGGGAACGTTAGGGAAAACTACCGATAACCAATTGTAACTATTTTAAAGAAATATTCGGTCATCATGTTATTAAAGTTTAATTAATAATAATAAATTGCTCTCTTCGTAATCGTTTGAATTTGTTTTGGCGGGAACCACTTAAGAGGATAACTTGAAGGAATGTCTTGGCCCCGGCATTTCAATAATATGTACCTATATAGGTGTGTACTTATAAGTATACATCACAACATTTTTTCTGTAACTTGAACTTAAAGATAACTTGAATTTATTTTTGGCCTTGAGTTATCCAGGTTTCACTGTATTTAACGGAGTAACACGAGTAAAAAAATAAATCATATTTTATTCTATTATTATAGGACATAATAGGATTTAATGATTTATCAAAAACAACAAATGTGTGTGAGCCATTACCTATTTTAACGAACGTTTTTACAAAGACTTTTCTCACTGCGATAATAAATTGTTTAAGTTAATAAATTAAGTTCATACAGAAGCGGAAGTGAAATTAAGAAGTGTTGACATCACAAAGTTCCCAAAAGATATACCTTGGCGTAGTATGTAGCCATCAGGGCAAAAATCATACCAACATTAAAGTATTTCAGAACGGGTGAGATACTAAGATATCATACTTACCATATACTTATCTATGCAATTTATTAATCAAACATACCATCATATCAGTATAAATACTATATAAAAACAAATATATAATAATATGTATCCTACCTAGTTATAATTTTAAGTAAAAAAAAATTGTACCTCTGTATAATATATTAATATATTATATTATTATGTTCTAATACTTTTTATACAAATTAATTAATAAACTAAAAAAACTTTTAATATTTAATTTAAAAATATTCTAAAGTAAATTTGTGTATTACTTGACAATTTTAAAAATATTTATAAAATATATATAGGTATAAATGTATAATACTATAATTCTAAGTAATTATACGCCTATTATACATACTATTGTCGACCATGACGTGTCAATATATTATATATTGTATTAGGTAAAGTACATTTTTTATACATATTTTATATTCATTGTTCAAAATATGTAAAACCAATGTTAATTTTCAAAATAATATATAAAATACCATTGCATCATGGTAGTCCAGTAAATTCTTAATTTATGGAGGTAGTTCAAATAATACATTCCTATATTTTTATTAATAAGTAACTAAACTTTTAGTTCAACGAAAAGAAATATTATACTACAGTTCATTCTTACTTAAAACAGTGGTAAAAAAAATTTGCAAATATTTGACATAGAAAATAGTATTAAAGTGAATATAATGTTTGTACGATTTTACAATAAACAATTTGTTTAATTTTAAAAGTTTGCATTGTTGACTGAAATAGTATATTGATCGCAAACGGTTAGTTCTTACCTATTAGGTACAATTTACAAAAATTAACAAAAAGATACACTGCCCGAAAGGCAAAAACGGTTAAGCATATTATAATCTTGTTATTCAACAATGTGTATGACTTTTTAAAGCAAACATTAATTGAAGAGTGTGTTGTTTTTTGATTTGGTTTGTTTATCGTACATAAATATTTATGGACTTGAGTAAATATAATTTATCAGGGAACTATTTAAGATTTTATTATATTTGTTTGATTTGTATTTGGTCTTCTGGACTTTAAGGAGATGATAAAGTTTGTTTACAAAAAAAAAAATAATTGACCATCTCCATTTCTAACGAGTCCCGTTACATTTTTATTTTTTTTCCCAATCATCTTTGTATTTCTATAGAATTTTATAGCTTTTACGCTACATTATAGTGAATTAACTTTATAAACGAACTGTTTTTAACTGCACACGCATACATTATTAGATTCCTCGAGGAGTTCCTGAAAAAAAAATAAAAAAAAATATAGTTTTTAAACAATTCAGGAATGCGGTATAACCACAAGGTTGGTCCGGACCAAATGCGCGCGTACTTACACGCATATGTGCCCAAGACGAGGGGAAATGGGAGAAAATAAACGTACCCTTATTATTATAGGTAAATATAGATATATATAATTTAGCTATATGTATATAGAGACAGATATTATATATAGGTAACACAGTTCGTCGATCTCGTTTTAATTCCTGTTTCCACTGAAGTAGATAATTATTATCGGTTTCGGGTTCGTGTTTGATGCACCGACGCCGCACATCTCCTCTCCTCGTATCTCTCGTAACCCTCGTCTTCATCCTCCGGGTGTACGGGAACACTGGGCAGTAGGACTACCTCTACCTTTTTATCCGTGCCTATATAAATAGGGTTGGTAGCGTCCAAAACGAGTCTTCGGTCACAATTCACGTCATGTATTCCAACGCCAAACACGTCGCCCCTACGGTACGTACAATTATATTAAACGTATAGTCACACATATTATATGTATTTTATATCGGGATATTATTCGGACATGTTTTTAACGTTGTAGAAAAAATGTATATTTATATTCTTTTATGCACTTATAATAAACCACGTCGCCGATATAAATTATAAGATTTTAGTTAGTTTCATTAATAAATAATATATATAGATAAATACAAAACTATAATACGACACGCGTTAAAATGTTGGTACATATGAGCGCCATACGATAATAGTTATATTATATGTTTCTCTTTACGCAGGCGGTCCTGATCCTAATCCTGTGCGTCTTGGGTACGGACCAAACTCTGTTTTCCCGGAAGAAGTCAAGTACGCCCGTTTCGCCTGTGGATAATGTTGCCCAACAATCAAAGTAAGTGATGGTTTTTTTATTAAATTATTGACTCATCCTAATGGGTAACGCAGAAAATATGTTAATAGAAATTAATAGAAATTATATTCGACGATAACCTGAGTACTGCTCTTCCGCGTTAGGAAAAATTTATAGTTTTACAATTACACTTAAAACGTCAAATATGATCAATAAATTTAATAATCTAGTTAATTAAGTTTAGGTTTTATTTATATAATAAAATATTAAAATATAGTTTAGTGGTGTATACTATTTATTAGGTATACTTACATAAATTATAAAATATAGAATTGGCATTAGGCATGCATCGGTAACAATTATTTTTACATTTTAATCATACAAAAATACAATCATTTTATATTTTTTTAATTAATTCAGTGTGTATTTTTATTGTATAGGCCAGTTCCACAAAAAGAAACATCACATTGGTGGCAAATGAAGTTCAAGCCTGCAGAATCTAGTGAAAATTCTGTATCAAATCAAGTAGCTGCACCTGTACCTGTACCAATACACCAAAAGGTAATAATTATACCTAATATTATTTATATTATTATTTTTCATAATTTAAGTTAATAGCGATGAGGACATTATTGAAACGCAATTAATTATAAATTTGTTCAAAAATAATTAATAATATTAAATATATTAAATTCAAACGTCCGCTTGAAATTTATATAATTAACTCAAGAAACTCTTAAAATTGTAGGCACCTAAGACCTAACCTTTTAAAGTTTAATTTCTACATTTTATTACAATTTAAAGACCCGATTACGGATTAACTGCTTTTATCTGATACACTTGAGATTTATATAATATGAACAAATAATATAATATAATATGTATATTTATTATAGGTAGTGTTTGGTAGATGTTTTTTTTTCCGTTTAATGACTAATTCAAAATGGATTAAGTGCTTAACGATTTAATGTCTATTAACTAAACAAGAAAGTCATTGTTTAGTATTGTCCACATGTTTAGTAAATAATGCCTACTATAAATATACCTATCAATATTTATAATTTGCACGGTTGCAATTTCTTCTCATTATCATTCGATTAAGTTCCTTACATATAATATATGGCTTGACAGGCCGATACATAATAATATACAACATGTATAGACGTATAGTGTATACATTCTCTATATTATCTGATTGTCGATTGACTTTTACGCAGGTTCGTCTTAGTTGTACCCACTGCGTGACTAGTGAATTTACATTTGATTTAAATGAATCAAATCATCGAATAGTTGTTAAAATGTTTCGTCATTCATTTAAGCATGCGATTTAATTCAATTTTCATTTTGGTTAGTCGCGCGTGTAAATCATCACACAAGTGCCATCTCAAACTAACTACCGACTATTAATTACGCTCTGAGTAATGTGCCACTATGGCCAAAGGATGGATAGCGTTGGACGAGCGCCTGTAGGCTGTAAATAGATATATTTAAACTAAATATTATAGTAGCTGACATTTAAAACTGCTAATAAAGGTACTTTCAAATAGTAATGTAATCCGTCATAATGTCGTATTGATATTGTAGAGTTTAGACGTCTGTGTTAGTGATCCACATGACCATATACCTAATAAATAATAATATTTACTGTCGGTTCTTACTTCTAGAACACATGGGATATTTTTACCAGTTCAACACTGCGCAATTATTTTTAAGTCTATAATAGTTTGGTCAACAATACAAAACTACTGAACGAAAATATTATGATTAACACAATATTTAGTTTTCAGGATATATGTTTAATACTTTAATTGGTTGCTTTTATGATTTTTTAATTTTAGTTAAATATAAGTTATAAAAATTTGTGATTATTGAGAAGAGTTATAGACTAATGTCGAAAGATTATTAAAAAAATACAGTATAAAATATTATCGTTAAGACATATAGGATGTTCCGATTAAATACCTAAGATGTATATTTTAAATTTTCAGTTATGAAATTTAATTACTTTATTTGATCGTTTTTTTTATTGAATTTATCATATCCATTTGACCAGTTAAATATAAAAAAAAATGTGAGCACCTTATAAAAAATTGGTTATTAAAACGACACTTGAATTTTATTATTATATTATAACATAGTTAAGGAACGTCTTAACCTCATATTGTGTTGTCTCCATCAGCCGTCTTAATAACGCATAATAATATAATATATTATCAAAATGTACGTCCAGCAGTTCCAATTTCGTGTTGTTAGCTTAAATATTAGATTTAATTGACCTATCATCAAACAATGTCAGAACATTATGTGTGTTGTCTCGTTGGTTTGTAACGATATTTTAATTATTAAGTGAGTTATGAGTATGTAAAATATTAATATTTGAGAAGTTTGACATCCTCTTAATATGAAAAAATGTTCATTCATTTAACTAAGATTTTTATTTGATAAAAATTACAATTCACATAGGTAAAATGAAACAGGGTAATATATTCATATAATACCTCAGATGATACAGTTACCAGAGCGCACCATTAAAATACAGTCGTAAAGTTATTATTTACGCCTTACAAGTCAACAATAGTTGTAGTCATACAATATAATATAACCTAGGTCTGACTTCATGAAATAAATATTAAATACGATCATTAAATCATATACTTATATGAAAAAATATGATCATTTTTTTTCAAGGAAATTCAAGAACACCCGAATAAACAGTGTAATATGCCGAGAAAGAGACTCGTCGTTAAACCAATTTTACACCGTTCATTCGACTATCGGTGTGAAGTTGATTTAATCGACGAGGAGTTAAATTCAGACAATGATTACAAATTAATTATTTTTTTATGAAGATGATTACACCACATTTGTAATCAATCGTCCTTTACGATGTAAGCGTGCTAAGGATTTTTATTTCATATTTGTTGTATTTATATATCACTAGTTGATAATAAAATGTGATTAATATTATGCATTTTTTTAAGGTTTGTACTTGGTATTAATTTTGTCTATCAAAACTATCCTAGGCTAGTAGAATGTAAACTGCATAGGTAAAATATCGAATAAAATAACATTTTCGTAATTTCGAACTTGAACAAAATATGTAAAGTGTACTTCCTAGGTTCAACTAGTTAACCCTGGTCCCTGGATTTACCGGCAATCGGACTATAACCTAATTATACAAATATATTATAATATTATACTTCTAATATTATACTTGAAAATTTTCCTTCATAGTGTGTATTATAAACACAAATGAAAACACCTACTTCCGGTTTTCCGTCTTGAAGTTGTAGGAGAACAACATTTACAATCTAATTCAAAATAATATGCGTCTTCAGCTAGTTTTCCTATTTCATTATATCACTATTATTTATTAGTTTATTACGATTACATAATGGTTGGGTGATGCGCGTACCTATATAGTATTAAATCGTTAAATTATATTTTATGCATACGCGTCTTATACATAATATGTTATATATATTATAGTCATATATTTTATGTTTTATTTATATCGATGTCGTGTAAACGCAGTACGAAAATCTCGCGAACCGAATGGGCGGGTGAGGGTTCGCGGGGCATTCAATATCTATCGTCCATGTTTTAATACTGAACCCTATACCTACATATAGAGATACTACTACTACCGTAACCGTGGTCATCTCATCTGCCGGGGTGCCGAGCGTCCTTAACGTGTACGGTACATGTATAATAGGCTTTAGATACGTGTACGCCGTGGGTATGCCTACTACAGTTTATCGAGTTCGAGGATCGGGAACGGAAAAAACAGACAACGGAATGAAAAAGCTGAAAGAGGTTTTCTATAATGTGCCTATTATATTATATACGTGTGCAGTACCTATATATTATATTTATGTATAGGTAAAATTTTTTCTCTCCCATATATATATATATATATATACCTTACTTATATACATTATATACCTACGTATTATTCTAAACCGTTGCCGAAGCCCCCGCGTGTGCGGCGTGCACATAATGTGTGTGTGTGGTGTTGTGTCCGTTCGGTGTTCGTGATCGAAGAAAGTGACACCGAAGGTCAACCCTGTGCGCACATATACGCTTATGAGTTTGAACGACGCGAGAGAGAGAAATCGACGAGCACGACCGGCGGCGAGCCGTATGACATGAACGCGGTATAATATCTTCTCGTCCGTGCAGGTATACATGTATATTGTATACCTTACCTGCTCGTACCTATCTATCTGTATCTGCGTAATGCCTCTATGTACGCGCATATTATAATATTATTCTCAACGCCGATAGCGCGCGCGGATGTGCCGATTGTAACCGTGAGATTTATAGTCGTAAAAATAGGTACAAAGCGAAGAGGGTTTTTCGCTCGTTGAAGTCTCTCGCGTATACCTACCTACCTGCAGTGTATGTATTTAACACACACACACACACACACACACACACACACGCGCGCGCGCGCGCGCGAATACGGTTGTTCGTCGTAAATCTACGGGTTTTTGCTCGTTTGCGCCGATAGCAAGTGTAGATGGTTTCGGATGCTGCACACCCGTCCGCGGGAGAGTCCCCGTTCCCAGGGATGAAACAATGTTATTTGTTATTAAACTGTCACCTTTTGTTATTATTATGCTTGGTCATCAATTTGAAATTCTAATGAAAAACGTAGCTGATGTTAGGTATAGGTACGTGTCAAAACGTTTATACCTTATACTTTTCGAATCCCCCTTAAGATGATGTCCGTGCAATATTTATTTTTTCTCTCAGACCCACGCGCAACATTGCTAAAACGCTTTCACCTAAAATCATTTTTTTTTTATGATATTAGAGTAATCTTAAGAGTAAAATCACCTTTGACCAAAATTATAGAGTATAATATTTTTGAGGGTTGAGTTATTTGATTTTGTATTCGACTTTCAAAATAAAAAAAAAATATAAATTTAATATGTTTAAATTATTTTAAAACGATATTTAGACCAATCGATACGTCATACCCTCAAAAATATTATTCTCTATCGTTTTTGTGATGAGTGATTTGAGTCTTAGATGATTCAAAAACATAAAAAAAGATTCTGCGTAAATGCATTTTGTCTATATTGCGGATGGGCTAGACTGCTAGAGAAAGAAAACAAACAGTGCGCGGACATCCTATTTAAGGGGGATTCGAAACGTATAAGTTATAACGTATTAACACGTACCTACCTATCACCAGAAACTTGATTTGATGTTTTTCATTAGAAATTTAAAATACATTTTAATGTGTCCCGAATATCTTAAGGATTCCGAAGTTAATATTTATAGCTCGGACTTTTATCTCAATAAATGCGAACATTTACGAAGTTAATGAATCCCACGCCTGACTGGTGTTTTTAATGTTTTTATATTATGTGTTTGGGAACACAAGAATTAATTTAGTTTAATAACTTTTTGGAAATCATCCACAGTGGATGTGTTAGCATATGAACGTAATATAAAACAGCGATGATTCATTTTCGGGCAATTTATCAAAACGTTTTAGTTTGATTTATGGTTACCTACGTTTTAAAATGATAAACTCTATTCGTATACATTCAAATTACTTACACACGTCTAACACTTTTGAAAAACCAGCAATGGTTCGTATTTATAGATTTTCTTACTTTAACTCATTATAAAATATAATATTATCATGCCTGCAGCGCATTTATAAACTCATAGTATATAATCTGTGCCCGTTTTCGAGCATTCGAGTCATAGGAGAGGGTATAATAAATCGTTGAATCATCGGGTACGCTAATTTTGGTTGTCTGTGTCTCTATGATATGATAATATTATTACCATTCACATATTTTTCCGATTCGAGAAAAATAATAATATGTAAATAATAAATTCTACAGTTAACTAAATACTAAAGAGTAGGTTATAGACACGAACGAAATATCAAAAATAACGTGTACCTAAGTATAAAATAATATAGTGTTCTATACCTTACGTCATGATCTCTATCGAATTTGTCAACTCTTCCTACACGACCTTCACAGGCACATGGTTATACTTACAACGTACTCTAAGCGAATCGTCTACCTATATACTTCATCAGTGTATATATACATTCAAAAAAGATTCGTTCCACGCAAGTGACATTACTATAACCGACGTCGACAGGTCGTTGTCGTAATAATATATCTACTAGTATTACTACATTACGTTTTACGAGGTATCGTCGTACCTATAATAATATATATACCGGAGCACACTAAGCCGCGTTATGACAGTCGTAAATTGATACGCTCGCTACAGCATCCTAACTGCGGTATAGCGGCATTGCGCGTCTCGTTTAATGGTATATACCTAACTATACTCCATTATTATACAGCTATGTTGCCATGTAGGTATACACGCAATATCAATATATTCCCTCGGAGTTTTCCCTCCAGAATTCCACGTCGTGTGCCACAGCGTACACCGTAGCTCTTGTGTATAATTTACCTGTACGGCTGTACCAACGGGTTATGGGTACACGAGGCAATGCACCGCCACCGTAATGGATTCAGTAGACCGAAATATATTTATGGGCCTCTGTGCAATAGTCGTATATATTCTATTATATACATGCATGTCTACTTATATACATTGTGATTATTATACTCGTTCCACTTGTACAATAGGTATATAGTCGTTTGCGAGGGTTTTTGTTAAATTCTCACCCTCTCCCACCACGTCAAACGAGACTGTCTTCTATAATATGCAAGAATCTCGGCTTTCTTCTTCGATTTACATTTTTTTTTATCGTATTGCACGTGTTTATGCATAGTGCGTACCTACACTTTTAAACAAAAATAATTGACATGGGTGTGCGCTTACCTTTGCGCGACGATTGTCGCGATGATAGTCTGCAGCTATCTCTTATTACCATCGTCCGTTGAAGTCGTCACCGCCTCCAAGCAATCCATAAGGTCCACTGTTTTTGTATCTTCGGCCATATTATATCTATATGGTTATATTTATCCGAACAACACCTACTCTATCAGTAGACTTCTGTTTTATTTATTTACCTACTTTTTATTATCTTTTCTTCAATGGTACTGAAAAAACGTTTGCTTCTTGAAGAGAGCGTGATTTCCATAATAAAATTGTTGTGCAAAGTACGCGTATTAGCATGCCTATAATAATACGATAGATGTTCATATTATATAATATGCTATATTTATTTATACATGAACATTATTTTAATAGGTATATACATACGCATGGATTGTCCAACTGTCCAACTGTACGGATATTTAAATAGTTGTGGCGCAATTATCGCCTTCCCTCCGTTAATTGTTTTTATATTTTTACTATCATTATTATTATGATTATTATTATTATAATCAATTCGAACCACTACTGTACTTTGTGCCTACAAAGAATATAATATATTATGTAATTATGTATACACTATACTCTATAGGTAAGATTTTTTTTGTTGCTTAATTATTTGCCATGATAGTAAAATAAATTATAACAAATAAAAAAGGTGAAAGGTATTTGGAAGTTCACAAATACCATATATATTATTTACATAGGTTTTAATTTCCGACTTACCTAAATGTTACTATTTGTATCAGAGGTACCTCTATACGGCCATACATATTATGATAAAATATTATTATATCCAGTTTATTGAACAAATGATTGGCTTTTTTTCAGTTGCAGTCGATCTTTGAAACCCATTTTAACTCTGACATAAAATGGGTGCCATGCCTGTGCCCAGTACGTAAGGGTGAAAATGTGCAACAGCATCATCAACAACAACAACAACAGCCACAACTACAACCACACCAACAACAACCACAAAAATCTGGGCCTTCGTATTACCCTTCGAGCACGACCGAAGCACTATCCGACCTCTCCAACAATGACGTACCGCGTTTCATCTTCGCAAACTATCCAATTTAGGCTTGAGGAAATGTTTTTTCTCATTGTAACTTGGATCATTTAATTTATTTTAAATTATATTTATTTATTCACTATCTTGATCGTTTTTTTTTCTGTTCATTTTAAATTTAACCATTATATAACCTGTAAACGAAAGTGATGCAGTGTTGGATAGGTTGTTATTTATAGTCTTGCGTGAAGAATAATAGAATCCATCCATTGATGAAATTTTATGGCACTCGGGAGTATTTATTCAAATAAAAGGGCACGCCATCAATTTCGATGAATGGTAATGGGATGGTAAGAACAGATAGTTTGGAGATGAGAGTATTTCTATGGTTGGATGGTGGTTGGATTGGAGACATTTCTAGAATCTATATTTAATTGTATGTCCTTTACAGTAGGAAATAGGAATTGAGATCATCGTATTTTTAAATTATTTAATTACAAGAATCCTGAATCACTATATATTAGATATTACTGATTGGCATTCGAAATAAAGTTATTTGAAAAAAAGCAAAACTGATAATGACACTACCGTAGGAAGAGTGACTAAAATTATAAAATATATTATTTATTATGTTTCAACAGATATAGGTAATATAATAGATATATATGTATATATTATATATTATATGTCTTTGATAGGTACAAAGAAAAATGATAATCATAAAATACAACTACAGTGAAACTTCCATACAAGTATACAACGAACATCCATTGAACAACATTTTCTGTTGAATGAAATATTTTTGGGAACTAAACAAAATTAGAACCGCTCAACCACATTTATTTAATTTTATTTAGGTAACAAAATTGCCTATAATATGAATTATTTTGTAATATTATAAAAATTTCACTGTATATTACAATTATTCCCTGGAGCATTCTTCTTTTAAAACTTTTTCAAGATTATATTATACTACCCGATGCTTTATAGTTGTAATTTTACTATGGCTCACTAAATAATATTATATATTATAAGACTCCATTTAATAGTATCAACACAAATATTACAAACTAAGTGAAACTAACTATCTATCGTCTATCGATATAGTTCCTAATTATGCATTTATTAAATATATTATAGGTAAGTATGTATATTTAGTTCTACAAATGCTGCTAATATTTTTGAAATGTGGTACATAATAATTCATCGGTATTTTATGCATATATTTATAAGATGTTATTTTCGCGAGAAGTCGAAATCACCAATAACAATCGTAGACGCGCATACTCAATATAGTTGTCAACCATAAAATAAAAAAGTAATGTATAGGTAGGTAGGTAGGTAGGTATACTATTAGTTATTTTTTATACCATACACTTACGAGATAATAAATTAATAACATTATTCAAACGGCCGTAACACGTTTGGGCACAAAACGATATTTTTACCTGAGATTCGGGAAAACGATTGGGAACACACGTTTAGGTACACTTTTTTTCAGACCCCAAAAAGCAATACAACGTTTGGGTAACATAATATTTTTTAAATAATACTACGTTTGGGTACCAACGTTTAGGTGCACATTTTTTACAAATATACTTTTACATTTTATTTTTTAGAGCCTATTGGCGTTACCCAGGAGACACCACGAGGAGGTTGGCTCTTAATAGTCCCCTAAAAATATTTATTATTTATTTTTCACTTTTAATATTTTAATTATTTTATTAAAATAAAATATTAAGTATTCGTATAATAATATTATATTAATATTATATATTCGTAGTCGCGTATATTACGATAATAATCAAAATAATGTAAGTAATTGATATTAATTGGTTTGGAGGTAAAGTATATGAGTATACCACTATTGTAAATCACGTGTTTATAAAGTGTACCCAAACGTGTCTTGTATAGTATGTGTACTGTGTACCCAAACGTTCTCTGATTTACCAGGTAAAATTATAAAATACCTTTTATTTTATGTGTCCAAACGTTGTGTCTATTTGTACCCAAACGTGTTGGCTTTTGGGTCAATGTGACCAAACGTTCAGCGCCCATTCAAACAGCCGATCACAAACGTTTCGGGGAATGTTCCCGACGATAAGATACGCGTAGTTTTTTATTAAGTTTTATTAATATAATGGATGGGTACATAAATAGGTCCTACTGAAAATAAAAAAAAAGTCGTGACTCGTTTGGGGAAAATGTATAGGTACGGTGTATTTTTCAGTTCCGGTACACACGCATAACATACACAAAACTATTTATATACCGTGTTTATATACGATCTCAGGTACTTGTATAGATAAAAACTTGGCCCGGGCGTTATGATCGTATTAATCAACTATAATATTATTATACCTGCCATTCTACCAACCATTTTATTAAATTATTATACCGACAGTATTATTATAATGTAACTCGCACACATCGCTCGCATACATGGGTATATCAGTCGGCGTGTTTCGGGCGACGATATCGAAATTATTACAGAGTCGTAAAAAATAATTGAAGGACCGACGAGACGACGACATCGACTCTACGACAGAACAGAAAAAAATAATAATAAAAATATATTATAGACGGTAAAGCCAATCCTAATTAATCACCGCGACGCGTATCGGAGAAAGACAGCACACGCATAATGGGCATAATAATAATACCGGAAAGACGTATGAAAAATAATAATAAAAATACAATCGTTTACACGCGCGCACATCTGTCCCGGGGGGCCAGCGAAAGCGGCCGCGCTCCGGGCGACAAGCACGCCAATTAATAATAATCATAATATCGTATACACACTGTATTATACATATTATTATTATTATTATTATTATTATTGCGTAGGTACACTGTACGCGATAATCCAAAAACTCGGAGAAACGACGAAAAGAAAATACCCGCATGATAATAGCAAGACCCGACGGGGGAAGCAGTGAAACGAAAGAGTAAATAAGGTTTGTCGGTTTTTTATTTTTTTTTATGTAATAATCGATCCGAGAGGTCGAACGTTGCCTCGGAATATCTGTGCAGAAGCGGCCGGTCCGTATCGGGAAACGTGATCGGAATGCGCGTGATGTGCAGCGGCAGCAGCAGCGGTAGTGTGTGGTTAAATATTATATACATGCACATACCGCGGTCGTGGTACCTGTGCACAAGCGCGTTTATAAGTATATACAGCGTGTGCACGCATCGCGGCTTATAAGTTTATTATATTATTATTATGCGTCCGTCCTATTATCTATACACACACACACGCCCGCGCAGGCGTATTAAGCGCGTCGTACGTGATAAAAAGTATGGTTCATAATATTATTGTTTTCCACAAAAAAAAGGTAACGATATTCGGTAAAGCTGGTTTTCTTTTTCACAACAACACCCAGTGGTGCAGGAACTATTTACGCGAGGGGGGGGGGGCAAAACTTAAAAGTTAAAATACCTAACAACTATTATATATTTATAAGTGATTAATAAATTATAACTGGAAAGCTTTCATAATATTTTATTCTTTGAATGTTGATATAGCCGATATAGGTAATATCATATTATAATATAAGAATTATATAAATGTATTGATACTATAATTTTTATAGTATAATACTATAATGTAAATATAGATACATTATATTTAGACATTTATATATTTAAACAAAACACAAAACATATTAACATTATACCTGAAGTTATATTCAAAAGTAACGATATATAAATAAAAATTGCTCAATATGTTTATTATGTATTATGTTATAATACATACATAATAAATCGATGATAATAATAATAATGTTATTACGAACATTCATGAAAATGAGACCAATTTTGAATACTTAACCGTATAAATTAAACTTAATTTAAGATTGTATACCCTTTAATTTTAATATAGTAGGGGGGCAAAAGTATACTTCCCCCCTTGGATTATATCTGAGGGGTCAATTGCTCCCTCTGTCACCCCTTCTCTGACGCCACTGACAACACCAAGCATTAATACATTATTATTTGTTATCATTTATTAGGTATTACCTATTTGTTATAATAATTATTGGCTCATGATAGATAACATTACTAACATGGGCTTAGAATTAACAAGTTAAATCAAAACTATTAAATTATATTATGTATCATTTATTTAAATGATTTTGATTTTAAATTAATTCTATTATTTTTTTTGTCTAGGTCAGGGCTCTATGTTTCATGAAGGTTGTCTGAAATTTTCAAATATTGTTATGGTTTTTTTATTAAATTTTATAGGTAACTACATTTTTTATCCGGTATTCCCACACACACTACTTTCATTATAATAATATATGAACTATATGAAGTGATTTATTTTTTAGCTGGGACTGGACGGCAATAATACTGCTGTGCGTTTAAACCCTAAGACATATTATTATTTCAAAAAATATTAGCGTATTTAAAAATATATTTTTTCTTCCAAGTTAAAGTTATTATAACAAAACACATATTTCCAAAAAAATTATGTGTTTTGTTATTATATATTTAAATGCTATGTTTTACTATTAATGTTTTACTTTTAAATTTTAATGCTAATAATGTTTTACTATGTTGTACAATATTTTTTAAGTTTTTCACTTATTGCGTGATAACATATGTTCTTAATTCCATCAAAGCCGATTTATTTTTTTAGTATTTTGATAGCTACATATAAATTTAATTTCAAACGAGTAATTATAAATTACTAGCTGATCCCGTGCACTTCGTTTCCACTTTCCCGTTAAATGCACCAACTCTATGTGACTCAAACATTGTTCAATGCGTTATTTAATATTCGGTGTATGATGTTCTAGATTTATCTTAACTTTTCTGTTGCCCGGAATAAAAATTCTGAATTGCAGCAGTACATTATCAGATAGGTAATTTACCTGAGGTAGATCGCGGACCCCGTGCTGTTTGTACGTAAGTGTATGATTTAACTCAAAAAGTACCAAAGTTATACCAAGTTTGACGTTTTTACTTAATTCCACCTACCTATAAATCCTAACCTAACCTAACCGTACTAAAATCCGATGAATAAAAAAAAACCAAATTTAACCCTTTTTAAATTAGCGTATCT